TCTCTCTCTCTCTCTCAAGAGCTTGTGCAAGGAGGTCTGCAGAGAGCCCGGAGCTGAAGTGGGCGAGAGAGGAGTGTAGCATAGCGATAGGGTAGAGGCAGCCATAGCTGCCATAGCTGTAGTTTAGTGTGAAGTGTGTGTGTGTATGTGTGAGTGTTCAGAGTGATGCGTGTGGGATATCCAGGGTGATCCGGTGTATGTGAACAGTGAGTTGTTTGGGCGCTGAGTCGCCATAGCAAGTTGAAAGTGAACTCGTATCTGGATGCTATATCTCTGAGTTTTGAGTGGGCGCATATCGCCAGTTTGCTGCGCTACTATTTACATGCATGAAAAGTGTGAATGAGAACGAGTCTGATTGCATTGGTATCGGAGCTGGTACCCGCGCCGAGTTGTTTGTCGCAGGGTGATGCGCCATAGTAGGGGTGGCCGCCGAGGGTTATAGTCCGCCATAGCGGATCCGAAGGTGGGAGAAGCCGCCGTGCACCTGCAGAGAAGACCACGAGGAAGAGAGAGAGAGAGAGAGAGAGAGAGAGAGAGGTTGAGCGATACAAGATTGGGTAACTACGTACCTGCTGCGGTGAAGATACCGCTACGGCGAGAGAGAGAGAGAGAGAGAGAGAGAGATGAACGATACAAGTTTGGTTGTTACAAGCGGACTGTGCAGTCCCACGTGGAGGAAGGAGAAGCGGCCATAGCCGCGGAGTGTCACCACGGAGTAATGAAGGAGGGAGAGAGACCGGACAGAGGGGGAGAGACCGAGAAGGGAGAGAGACCGGATAGAGGGGGAGAGACGGAGAAGGGAGAGAAGGAGGCCATAGCAGAGAGGTGAAGTGAGGGCCAATCAAAAAAAAAAAAAAAAATAGAAAGAGAAGAAGAAGACAGCCGGGGTGAAAGGAGGCGAGGAAAGTGAGAGGAAGAAGAGGGTTGGCGAGGGAAAGAGAAGCCGACAGCCATAGCTGACCGGAGGGTTGACCAGAAGAGTTGACCGGAGGCTTTGATCGGCGTTGATCGGAGTTGATCGGGGGCTGATCGGGAGTTGATCACAGCGTTGACCGGCGTTGACCAAGAGTTTGACCAAGTTGGAGCCGATAACATCTCGCCAAACCTTCAGCCTGTCCCTCGCCCCATGGATGTGCACACACCCCTTGGTACTTGCGGAGTCCAATCTGTCTGTCTATTCTTTCTGCATCGAGTCTCTTCTGTCCTAGGTGATAGTACTCTGTGGATGAAGGATAGGGTCTTGTTGACCAAACCCACACGGGATGAGTAGGGCTAAAAGCTGTGTCTGATGACTCGACTGTCCCGGAGGACACGAACCCTCCCAAGGACCGGTACTGACCGGCGGGCTGCTCGGTGTGGCACGGTAGGCCCGAAGTCCGAGTTGTGGGCTGCACAACAGACCGTTTAAGTCTTGAGAGACCTGCTGATCGCGTCGTCCTGTCTGCGACGTTAAATAATTCTTGAGGAGTTCGGGGGATCTCCTTAAATGCCTCCTGATCAGCAACAGGTCTAGTGGTGACAGCCATAGTTAGGTCCAGGCTAGAGACCCTAGTTGGCAGGATTCCTGTTCGGATTCTGCGAGTCTTAGATTAAGTTTGTAAGTTTGTCAGTCAGGGGTTAGAGTCTACGTGGTGAGGTTTGGAACCACTACCCGGTTGTACACTTATCACCATGGTTGAGACCCGTAGTGGGAAGAGTACTAGCCCATACACCCCTGAGCAGCAAGAGAAAATGGCCACCTTAGTGAGAGAAAACAAAGAGGAAGGAGCTCGAGAAGCAGGCGAAGCTAAAGGCAATCGCAGAGGAGCAGGCGGCAAAGATGAAGAGGTTGGAGGAGGAGATGAAGAGGGTTCAACAAGAAGAGGAAGAGAGGAGAAAGGCTGCTGAAGAAGAGGCAGCAGCAAAAGAAGAAAAAGAAAGAAAACGTATTGAAGGAGGAGAAGGGAGTAGTGGCACGAAGAGGGATACAGACGCAGAGATGGAGAAGAGAATAAGTGAGTGGGTCGCTAATTTATCGTTGGGAGAAGACGAGGAGGCGGAGTCTTATGTGACTCGGGATGAGAGGGATGCGCTAGCCAGTGAGCTAGCAGCAATGGAGGACCCTATGGAACGGCGAGAAAGGGAGGAGGAGCAGAAGTTGGCATGGAAATTGAGGATGAAGAGGGAAAAGAAGAGGAGGAGAGAGGAAGTCAACAAACTGACCGCCGAGGTGGCGAAGGTGCTGGACTGCAGGAAAGAAGTGCACGCCCAGACAGATGATAAGGCCAAGTGGGACAAGGTATTGGGGTACCTGGAGGTGCTGAGCACAGCATGGATGGAGGAGCGCCAAGCCAGTTGGAGCCAAGAAGTAGCCTTGAGTGCCATGCGGTCAGGATTTAGAGATATAGTCACCCACATTGGGGGCGAAGTCAAGCAACTGAGAGACAATGTGGGGAAGTTTTGTGAGGGCGCTATCGAGGGCGCCAAAGCGATAGCTGTTGTAGAGGGCGAGGCCAGGCCTCGCGAGGACCCAGTTAAGCTTAAATTCCCGGATGCATATGGAGGGAAGGAGGAGGAGAACTTTGACAACTGGGAGGCCAGTGTCAATAGTTACGTGTATCTACAGCACATTCTGACAGAGGAACAAGTCCTCGTGGCCTTCCAAGCCCTTAAGGATGAGGCAGCTAGTTTCGCCAGATCCCTTGCGCGCGCAGCCGGTTGTGAAAACAACACGGTTGCATATTCCAAGATCACCACCCTTCCTCAATTCTTCAAACTCTTGAGGGAGCGATTTGCTGATCCAACGAGAGGCGTCAGAGCCTCTGATAAATTGCAGACGATCCACTCGGGACAGTGGAGGAGTGCAAGAGCACTCGAGGGCGTTATGGACGACTTGGTAGCCGTCCCAGACCATGAGGTCACTGAGACCCAGTTGGTCCAATTGTTTTATCGTGCCATGCCCGAGCCCCTGCGTGGGGATTTCTTTGAGAAGTCTCAACAGGCCGACGTCACTTATGATGTGCTGAGTAGAGAAGTGGTCCTGTATGAGTCAAAGTCCATGCCAGTGTCCACTTTTTGGCTCAAGGACCTGGACAAAGGAAAAAGGTGGAAAGGTCGTACCATCTCAGACCAAGTAAGGGCCAAGGATCATATGATCCTTACCTTAGAGGGAGGTGGAACAGATGAGGTCCCGTATAGTCAGATTGAGTGGGGTTTCGAGGAGGAGGACAGTAGCGTGGGGCAAGGGGGGTCCTATGCTGTTGTCGCGGCTGGAGGGAGGCCGCAAAGTAGAGGAGGAGGCCAGGGCCAAAGGGGCCAGGCCATGGGAGGCTGAGGACCGGGCGCACAGGGGGTTGGCGGACAAGGGAACCGCCAAGTGGGAGGTAGGGGTCAAGGTCCCCCGCCGAATTGCCAGGGTTCTTATCGGTCCCCACAGCGAAGTGGTGGAAGGTCACCTCAAGGAGGTTGGCACCTAGGCTTGCCACAGGGCAGGCCCTGGGAAGACTTGGGCTTGGACCAGCGGATATGGCAGGAACGGATAGACCAGGGTCAGTGCGTGTTTTGTGGTGACCAGGCCCACGTAATCATATTTTGTCTTAAGTATAGACAGGCCCGATGGGCTGCCCAGTAGTCAAAAGGCAGCCGCCAGTAGGGGTCGCAACTACCCCTACTTCAAGGTCATGTGGGGAAGCGAGCGCGCGCGAACAGGAAACTCCCAAACCACATGCGCCTATGGCAGAGGTTGCAGGCCCGTGCCTAGCTAGCTGTCCAGAGACCGCTTGTGTTAGCGTCTCTCTAGGCACGTCCCTCATAGATGTGGCAGATGAGCTGAAGGAGAGAATGCCAGCCTGGGCCAAAATGAAGAAGGAGAGTAAGGGACAACTGATTCTGGTCGATGTAGAAGTTCAGGAGTAGAGTAGGGGCCCTTATAGACTTAGGGGCCACCCGCAGTTACATTAGCCGTAGAGCGCTGAAGAAGCTGAGGCTAGGATGAAAAGTCCAAAAGTTAGCAGACCCCATAGTCAGTGTCCTCGCAGACAACCGCACAATGCGTGTTGAGGACTACGTAGAGGGAGTCCAGGCGTACTTTCGCCTAGAGAAGGATGGGAAGGTGGAGAAAGTTCTCCATTCCCTGACTCTCCTCGTAGAGGATGACCTTCCCTTTGATGTAGTATTAGGAATGGTTTGGGGAGAGGCAACAGGGGCCACACTCCATTTGAGAGAGCATGAGTGTAGGCTCCCTAGTCCGTCGGGCGAGGTTAAGACTGCCCGCCTGTTTCATGTGTCAGGTGTAGATAACACCTTAGCACATTGCTGTCTCAGTGCTCCCACGTTCGCGCGATTAGTGAAGAAGCGATTAGAGGAACGGGTCTTTGTAGTTTATGTTAGACCTGTCACTTAGGCTAAAGAAGAGGTGACTTCCACATATCCAACCATTGCCAAGCTGCTGGAGGAGTTTAAAGACTCGATTGAGCCGCCGACAGGAGTAGTGTCGCGACCCATCCAGCACAAGATAGAGATAAAGCCTGGCAGTAGAACTCCTAAGGGAGTAGTCTACAGGATGTCCCCTAGAGAGTTAGAGGAGCGATGTAAGCAATTGGACGAGCTCCTGGAGAAACGTTGGATCAGGCCCAGTTCGTCTCCTTTTGGAGCACCTGTTCTTTTTGTCCCCAAAAAGGAAGGAGAGCTTCGTATGTGTATAGACTATAGGGGTTTGAATGCGATTACTGTAAAGAATGTTTAACCACTGCCCAGGAGAGACGATCTCTTAGATCGGGTGTAGGGTTGCATGTATTTCTCTAAGATAGATTTGAAGTCCGGATACCATCAGATAGAGGTTCATCCTGATGACCAGTACAAGACTGCGTTCCGGACTCGTTATGGGCAGGGTTGTCAACCCCCGGGCCCGGGGGTCAGGGGTCGGCATCCCCGACCCCGAAAAAAAAAACGCAAAAAAAAAAAAAAAAAAAAAAACGAAAAATAAAATAAAATAAAATATCGGGCGGTGCGCATCGACGCCGCGCATCCCCTGGCAATTT